TCCTCTGTGTTGACCCTCCTCTTTGTAGACTGGACCCTGGTTCAGGTCCATCTGGTGGGGTTTCCACAACCTCATTGATCAAGAGGACAGGTGACTTACCACAGTTACAAGACATTTTGAGAGATGCTCATAGTCCCCTGGAACTTAGTCAAAAACAGAGGGCAAGGAGCAAAAACTGTTCTTTATGTCCCTCTAACCAAATTAATATAGGCCTCAAAGTATAGCTGTTAAACATCCAAGAAGGTTAGTTCCACCAGTCTGGTACTTTTAGTTACCATATGCTATGTAGATAAAGCTTGGGCAAATACCAAATGTTTTCAGATAAACCTTGCCTAGACATATATTATATTCCTTGAGCTAGCTGTACATATAATTTGTCATTAGATTATTTGATTAATATGATTCCCTCTGTTTTTTTTAATTCGCGAAGCATTATTTATCTCTTGCGTTGTCTAAGCCTTCTACCATGAGAAACCCCAATTCTTAAAGGACACACTGCTGCCTACAAAAAGTATTGGATTTCTCAGCAACTCTTAAAAGTAGACATGGTCACCTAAGATCTGACTAAAGAAATATGAGGGGAGGAATAATCACGCCACTGTTGTACCAATGGGCATATCTTGTCAGGCCAGTTGTTGTAGCTCACAACATTCACAGCTGGGTAACGTTAACGATTGCTTTTCTTTTCTCGTAGCATGCATAGCACCATCTAACAGGATGAAAGTTAGCCAGTAGAGATGAAACTTCAAGGTCAGTACCAGCTTGGTTTTTCCTTGGTTGTTCTATGACTCATATACGTAATATCTATCTTCAGAAATAGGGTCTTACCATCATGTTCTAGTAGGTAATCAAGAACAATAACAATAACTAGTATTGTTTATTGGTCTTTGGGATCTCTCTGGTCAGAACATGTGGCTAGACAGGCCTGGGGGAGAACCTACTACTATTATTCTGCTAAATAGACATAGCATTAAACTTACTCTTAATAACTTGCTATACACATAGATTAGTGCACTGCATCTCTCAACTGTCACCAGAGAAGCATCTTCTTTCAGCTTACAGCAATTAACATAGAGGCCCATGGCAGGTCAATGTGTAGAGAATAAGAGACTGCAGAGTGCTCAGACCTAAATGGGACCCCTATATCTCACCCTCTCCTCCCAAGGTTCAGGGATCATTGTGGAAGATGGAACAGAAAGACTTTAAAAGCCAGAAGTGGTAGAAGAATAAAGGGAAAGTGTGTTGTCTGGACACCACAGAGTGGTTGATCCCATAATGCTTATGACAGTGTGTACAAGACCTGTGCAAACCCAAGTCAGACAAAAACCCAGCATGCATGGAGGAGATGGGCAAGAAGCCTCATCCCTAGCTGAGGATTTATTGGCAATTGACAGCTGTTGGGAGAGGGTGAGTCAGATTTCTTTAGAGGTGTGACATTTGGTAGGTTGACCAGGCTCCAAGGGATAGTTCCACACCCAAGAGCATTTGGGAAACACAGATTAGACTCCAGAGGCCTTAAAGAAATTAAATATAATAATAGAGTATGTGTAGTTGGGAGGAGACTAAGTAGGATGGGAGTGGAGGTAGGGAGGGGTCTGAATGTGATCAAAATATACTGCATGAAATTCTCAAAGAATTAATAAAAATATTTTTAAAATATTTTATTTATTTTTTTTATGTGTATGCATGTATTGCCTGCATGTGGGTAAGTGCACCCATATCGTGCAATGCCCATAGAGGACAGAAGAGGCTGTCAGATCCCCTGGAACTGGAGTTACGGATAGTTGTCAGCTGCCAGGTGGGTGCTGGGATTCAAACCCGGATCTTCTGCAAGAACAGCCAGTGTTCTTAACCGCTGAGCCATCGCTCCAGCCCAATAATAAAAATATTTTTAAAAAGAAACATAAGGGAGCTGGAGAGATGGCCCATTGAGTAAGAGGGCTTGCTGTGCAAACATAAGGACCTGAGTTAAAAATCTCAGCATCCATATATACAGCTTGATGTGGCTGAGCAAATACTTGTAATCCCAGCACTATAGGGGGCATAGAAAGGAGGGTTACTGGGTCTGGCTGGCTGCTGGTCCAGCTCCACATTCAGTGAGATACCCTATATAAAGATAATAAGGTAGAGAATGACAAAGCAAGATACCTATAGCTTTCTGCTGGCCTCTGCCCACAACACATACATGAGCATGTACTACATATACACGTACTACATTCAAATACATATGAAGAAAAAGAAATGGGAGCAGAACTGTCTTATGGCAGTTTGGGGAACCTTCTGGGGTGGTGCAGAGCACAATGACAGGGAAAGAAAGGCGTAGAAAAAAAAAAAGACATGTAATTATCCCCACAGATTACTTGTGCTGTCAATTCAGAGCTCAGGTTTCAAGGTTGGAGGCTGAGCACTGAGGGAGTCACAGAAAGCTGAGCCGACTTAGAGAGCAGCAATGGGCTCTGTAAGGAATGATGAAAGAGTGGAGATTGCTGAGTGGCGATCAATGCAAGACCAGGATTAGCGCATCTGATAGGCACAGCGTACTGACTCACCTGTGTAGAAAAGGCCTGCTCTGACCAAAGCTGCCACAGACACAGGTGAATCGTGGGGCCAGTTCTTGAATGTATCCAGTCTTAGTTCTTCATTAGCAAAGACGCTGTCATTGCTGTAAGCTTGAATAAAAGGGGCAGGTGAGATCAGAGGGCTTTGATTGCAGAGTTCAAATTAGCCCTCTGTATTTGTAGATGAAATGATCTAAGATGATATGCTTGCTCTCAAAATAATTGAGGGTGGTTAGAAAAGCAGAAACAGATAAATGAAGCAATTCATTCAATTTAATTAAGACAAATTTATTTATAGTCTAGAAGCCTTTTATTTTAGTTTTTACAATTATTAAGTCATGAGCTCATAAAGAATAGGTTCTAGTAGGTCAGGCTGCTTTCCTTAGTTGTCACAAAGGTTGCTTGTCCTAGTTTGCTTTCTGATCCTGTGATATAGCACTGACCAAAACCAACTTGAAGAAGAAAATATTTCTTTCATCTTACAACTCCCAGGTCATAAACCATCATTGAGGGAAGTCAAGACACGAACTTCAGGCAGGAATCTGGAGGTAGGAACTAGAGATCACTAAAGTAGGAACATTGCTTACTGGCTTGCTTCTCCCTCGCTTGCTCGGCTACCTTTCTTGCACAGCCCAGGCCCATCTGCCTAGGGATGGCACTACCCACAGTGGCCTAGACCCTCCTACATCAATTAACAATCAAAAAAAGCCCCCACAGACATGCCCACATTCCAGTCTAATGAAGGAAATTCCTCAGTTGAGGTTCCCTCTTCCCAAGTGTCTCAAGTTTGTGTCAAGTTGACAAAAACTAACCAGCACAATTTACCCCTTATCAACTTGACACATAAACACATCACTATTTAATCATAACCTTTCCTTTCTTATTATCCCCAAGCTCTCATGCTAATATCACAATAGAAAACATAGTACAACTTTGTAAGTCTCAATCTTTTAAAAATTCAAGTACTGTAAAAGTTCAAAATCTATTTAAAATATCAAAAATCTCTTGACCACAGGCTCCTATAAAATGAAAAATAAGTTAAATACTTTCTTATTTCAAAAGAGAAGAACCGGGTACACTTAAGCAAAGCCAAATTCCAGCAGTGTAGCTCAGTGTTCAACGTATGGAACTCACTCACGATCTTCTGGGCTACAAAAGGCTAGGGCAGCTCTACTCCAGCTCTTCTTAGCAGGCAGCACACATAGCTGGTCTCACAGGCTCAGGCTAGCTCCACTCCATAGCTGCCATTGCTTGGTGGTCATCCATGGTCCTGGCATTTCAAATATTCTTGGGTCTCTACTGCAATAGAGGCTACACCTGCACCAATGGCCTCTCTGTAGGGACTTCAACCCTGCCACAAAATGCCAAGCCTCAGCTGTTCTCCATGACCTCTTGATGTTTTCAAAACCAATACCATATGGGAGACTCTTGTGTGTTATCAAGTTTGGCTGCCAGCTTGAGATACAGCATTGGCCGCCCATCAGACCATAGCTTCTGGGTGCTGATCCTGAGGAAATACTTCCCAGAAGCTTTCACCTCAAATATGCTGGTCTCTTGTGAATCACAAACTGACTTTTCAGTCCCAGCTAACCAACATCAATTGTCCCAGTAAAACACAGATGGTTTCACTTTCACTGATTCTTAATTGAAACTCTCTCATGAACAGCTCCAATGAGGTATTTGCTTCTCTCTGAAACGTCACAGACCAGGCCTCCAGCATCTGCATTTCTCTCAGCATTAGTTTCCAATCCCCCACAGAACAGCTCATTAAGTACTCAGCACTCAAAGGCTTTTCCAGCTGAAAGTTCCAAATGCTTCCACAATCTTCCCTAAAACAAGATGGTCAGGTCTGTCACAGCAATACACCATATTTCTGGAACCAATTTCTATCCTAATTTGCTTCTCTGTTGCTGTGATAAAACAATGACCAAAACTAACATGAGGAAGAAATGGTTTATTACTTCTTATAACTCACATCCCATCATTGAAGGATGCCAAGGAAGGAGCTCAAGGCAGGTATCTAGAGGCAGGAACTGAAGCAGAGACTATGGAGGAATGCTACTTACTGACTTGGTTAACCCTGACTTGCTCAGCTACCTTTCTTATACATCCCGGACTCACCTGCCCAGAGGTAGAACCATCCGCAGTGGAATGGGGCCTCCTACATCAATTAACAGTCAAGAAAATGTTCCACAGACATGTTCAAAGGCCAATCTGATGGAGAACATCCCTCAGTTGAGGTTCTCTATTCTAGCTGTCTCAAGTTTGTGTCAACCCAACCTAAGGAACTTGTGGCAAGTGATGGTTGCTAGGAGGGAGAGAGGCAGTGTCTTATAATGCAACCTCTACACCTAAGGCTCAAGGAACTTCCAGGAAGAGAGGGAGGAAAGACTGTAAAAGTCAGACAGACAAAACACCTGCTGCTATATATGCATTCTAGACATGATAGGGAAGCTGAGCCAATGAAATCTCCACAGTATGGTAGTCTAATAAGATCTGCATAATGACAAAATGAGTTCACATGCTAGTGTGGACTGAGGGGATGTCACAGGGTCCCATCTCTAGACGAAGAGCTACAGGCAATCAATGGATGCTGAGGGAAAGAGAATCAATTTTCTTCAGGGACTAGCTCCCTGAAAGGTTGTCTAATCCCAAACAGGCAACTTTAAACACAAGTACACATGAGCACCAATAAATGGACTCAGTGCATTTTATATACACATATATTTATAAATGTATGATGCATATGTAACAATAATCAAAGAAAAGGACAAGAAATTGCAAGGGAGCTGGGGGACATGGGAGGAGTTGATGGGAGGTCGGGAGGGATGGCAATGCAAAGACAATACTCATGTATGAACGTCTCAAAAATAAAAAATTATAAAATGTAACTTTAAAAAGTTTTAAACAAACTATGTTTCTCTATAAGAGCAGAAATCACACATAAATGAAGAAAATGAAAAGGCTAAAAATGGATAGAGAGACAGAGACGGGGTGGGGGAGAAAGAGCAGAAGAAGAAATAAATAAGCCAAGCCTTTAGGATGTCCCTGAGGTTTTACCTGATACCATTGGTAATTCTCTTTTGACCCACGAATTCACAAAATGTTCTCCCTGAGGAAAATAAATTCAAGTTACTGATTGACCTATAAAATATGCATCAACTGTGAGCCAGAACAAAAAGACTTTCCCCACTAAAGTAAAGTTTCATTAGAGCAGCAGAGGGGTTGTTGAACAATTCTTTTAATTTTTATTTGGTTCTCACTAATTTTAGAAATGTTTTATGCAGTATAAAACAACAGTCAATGTTTCCCTGTGTTCACATGGAACCTTCTCAGGGTCACTCTTACCAGACACCCAGCTCAAAAACAGAACTGCAGTCAGACACCGCAGAAAGATTTTGAGTAATGAGGAATTAAGACACAGGAAGGAAGCTGACTTCAGAAGGGCCTTTCCAATTTAACAACCTACCCTACTGGGAAAACTACACCCAGGTTTGTTTGGTTTTTTTTTTCCTGAAGAAATCCCCCTCCTCCCTGACTTTCAGTCCATGTTCTCTGCAGGATTCTGTTCTTCTGAGTCAGTTGGCCAAAACATTCTGTTTCTGGTTTGTTGTTGTTTTGTTTTTTGTCTTGCTTTGTTTTGTTTTGTTTTAAGTCAATGTGGGCTAGGTTTCCCACCACTCCCCACTAGGGAGTCCTTAGTAGTTTAAGAGGCTAAATCAGCAGCTGGAAGGAGCCAGCTCTGAGGCCCTCTCCTGAGCCAGGTCAGAAGACTAAACCAGGCATGCAGATGGAGGCAGCAAAGGGAAGCCAGGGCAGTGGCCTCAGAGAAGAGGGAGGATGAAGGGGGCAGAGCCAGTGCAAAGCCAGCCCTGGAAGAGCAACTCTAAGTGGGTCCAGCTTAGCAAGACAAGGTGATTCCCCCCACTCTGCAGAGGAGAGGTGGGGGAATGAAAGGAAGAAGGAAGAAAGACACAGCCCGTGAAATAAAGGGAACACTTCTCCCTGTGATTCAGATTCTTAGGTAATCAAAAGACAACCTGGGAAAAAGTTTGCTGATATAATTACCATTACATGGGGCTGGAGGGATGGCTCGGCCATTAAGAATACTGGCTGCTCTTGAAGAGGACGACGGTTCAGTTCTCAGTACTCACATGGCAGCTAATAGCCACCAGTAACTACAGTTCCAGGGGATCCAACACCTTCTTATGACTTCCACAAGCATTACAAGCATGTGGCACACTTACATACTGCAGATAAAACACTCATACAATAAAATTTTTAAAAATAAGTAAATTACCATTACATGAACAAATCCCTCATAGCTTTGAATATACTGGGCAATTTCCTCTGAGGACTTCTTACTTTGAAGAAATTCACATCTATAATTAAAAATATAATTAAAATTTACCCCAATGTAGTGATAGAGATATCCCATGTACAATGAGCATTTATTTAAAACCTACTGAATTGTTGGACCTTATACTTTAATAAAAATGACAAAAAAAAATTGCTCTTGCTGGGCATGGTGGTACACGCTTTTAATCCAAGCACAAAGAAGACAGAGGCAAGCAGATCTCTATGAGATAGAGACAGCCTGATCTATGTAGAGAGTTCCAGACCAGCTAAGGCTACAGGGAGATCCTGTCTCAAAAAACAAACGAACAAAAAATTTCCCTAAACCTTACTTACTGACATTGTTTTGACAGAACTATTTTATTTATATCAATGACAACATGTATTATTTAAAGTTAAATCTTCAGATTTTTATTTTAAGATAGAGTCTTCATGTATTTGCCAGGCTGATCTCAAACACATGGCTTCAAGCAATCCTCCTGCCTCAGAATCAGGAGTAGCATGGACTACAGACATGAATCACTGCACCCTGCTGTCATTTTTTCTTGAAACAAATACGCAAGGCAGTCAAAGAGACTAATTTACAGTAAAAAGAATGTGGATTATATTTGTCTTTTCAATTAAGCTGTGGTGACCAAGAGTAGTTCCTGTAATCAAATTAAAGTCATTGACAGTAAAGGGGATGGTATGAAAATTAATAGTAATATATTTCATGTACTAAACAAAAAAATGATAGATTTTTAAAGTAACAGATATTCCTATAACATTTATTCCACTCTTATGCCAGTGGGCATATATTGCCAGCCAGTTATAGCTGTTGTAGCTCTCAGGGTTCACAGCTGGGAAAGATTAATGATGACTTTTCTCTTCCCATACCCTGCATAGCATCTTCCATCACTACGAAAGTATGGATGAAGATTCCAGGTCAGTACCAGCTTGATTTCCATGTACTCAAGTATCTTCAGCAATAAGGTCTTACTGACATGTTCTGAAGGGTAACCAACAGCAATAGCAAAGGGATGGACCCACACCCAAGAGTATTTTAGGAAAACAAATTGAGCTCAATGCGTTTAAAAAAAAAAAATTAAAGGAAGTCAGGTGAGTAGGGAGATGGGGGTAGATCTGAGGGGGAATGGGGGAGGGGGTTGAATGTGATGAAAATACATTGTATAGTACTTTTAAATGAAAAAAATTAAAGTAACATTAATTTACTAATTTAGAATTTTTTAGCATATTGAACGCCATCTTAAAAACACATTCTTGCTCGGTGTGGTGGTGCACTTTTAATCTCAGCACCCCAAAGGCAAATGCAGGTGGATCTTGGTGAGTTTAAGGCCAATCTGGTCTATATAGCGAGTTCTGGGGCAGTCAAGTTTACATAGTGAGATTCTGTCTCAAAAACAAAAAAAAGAAAACCGTCTGACCAGTGGTGAGTTTCCTATTCCAATGCCTCCCCACATCTCATCATCTCAGCTCTCAGGCCTGTTCAAGTCCCTCTTATCCACGCATGCCCCATATCTGAGCGCTTCCCCAGCTTGACCTACCATCAAATCTGTTCACCTAGAAGTCACTCAGCCCACCTCGCCTCTCCAGACCATGAGGAGTCAGTCCTAGAACCTCAGACTCAAAAGGTGTACCTATCCCTAACTGAGCCGAGATCACTTCTTATACCCCACTTGCACATTGATAAAGTGGCCCCCAAATTGAACACCAAGTACCACTCAGCTGGGCCATAACCTGAAAAGTTGGGGAAACAGCACCCATTTAACAAAGAGATCAACTACCCATATCAAGAAACACCACCATCAACACAAATTCAGATGCCTAGGTCACAAATACACAAACAAGAAAAACCAAGGCAATGTGTTTCCTCCAGAAATTAGCATCACCATCATATTTCCTGAAAATGGCAACCTAGTTGGTATATAAGACAATGATTTCAAAACACCAATTATAAATACGTTCAACGAACTCAAAGAAGATATGAGCAAAAGCCTGAATGAAGATGCAAAAAATCTCAAGAAAATACATGCAAACTGTATACAGACACACATTAAAAAGATCATTCACCAAGATCAAGTAGGCTTTATTCCAGAGACTCAGGCATGGTTCAATATATATAACTCAATGTAATAAATCATATCGATTGTCTTAAAGACAAAAAAATCACATGATCATCTCAATAGATGCAGAAAAGGCCTTTGACAAAAATCCAACATTCAAGATAAAAGTACTAGCAGAAATTGGACTAGAGGGAACATACCTCAACATAATTAAAACTATATACAACAAACCCACAGCCAATATCATTCAAAATGGAGAAAAATTTGAAGCATTCCTCTTAAAACCAAGAACCAGACAAGGCTGACTGCTATCCCCACTCCTTTTCAATACAGTGTTTAAAACCCTAGCTAGAGGAATAAGACAAGAGAAGAAAATTAGAGGGGAAGCAACTGGAAAAGAAGAGGTCAAATTACCCTTATTTTCAGATGATATATTATATATAAGTGATCCCAAAATTTCCACCAGAAAACTTCTACAAATGATTAGCACTTTCAGCAAAGCGGCAGTTTACAAAATCAATCCATAAAAATCAGTAGCCTTTCTATATACAAATAACAAGCAAACAAAGAAAAAAAAACAGGGAAACATCCATTCACAATAGTCTCAAAAAAATATCTAGGGATAAACCTAACCACAGAGGTTAAACACCTATTCAGTGAAAACTTTAAATGTTTGAAGAGATTGAGGAAGACATGTGGAGATAGAAAGATCTTCCGTGCTCATGGATTGGTAGAATTAATATTGTGAAAATGACCATCCTACCAAAAGAAATTTGTAGATAAAATGCAATCCCAACCAAAATGCCCAAGACATTCTTCGCAGAAATAGAAAAATCCATCCTAAAATTTGTATGGAATCACAAAAGACCCCAGAGAGCGAAAACCATCCTGAGCGCAAAGAGCAGTGCTAGAGGGATTACCATACCAGATCTCAATCTATATTACCGAACTATGTGCATAGAAACCGCATGATACTGGCACAAAACAGATTTGTAGATCAATGAAACAAAATAGAAGACTCAAACATGAGCACATGCAATCATAGCCACCTGATATTTAACAAAGGTGCCAAGAACACTCACTGGAGTTCTTTGAAAGAAAGCATCTTCAACAAATGGTGCTGGCTGGCAAAACTGGATCTCCACATGTAGAAGACTGAAATTAGACTCATGACTATCACCCTGCACAAAAGCCAACTCCAAATGGATCACAGACTTCAATGTGAAATCTGGAATGTTGAAACTGTTAGAATATATAGACAATACCCTACAAGGTATAGGTGCAGGAAAGGACTTTCTAAATTGGACATCAGTTGCTCAGTTATTAAGGTCAACAATAGATAAATGAGACCTCATTAAACTATCGGCTAGCTGCTCAGGGAGAAAACCAATCCATGATCCAACCCAGCTGTAAAGCCTAATAACTGCAACAATGACTAGCACAGCAAACTATCTCTACTGGTGCAGTAGTGGCACTTTATTGTGGGAATAAACAACAGCTATCTAATTGGACTTAAGGCCTGCTTAATGGGAGAAAATTTATGTGTGTTACTACAAACATAGCCAAATACACATGCTGGGGAGATTATAGATCCTAGAGAAAAACCTGCATCTGTCATATCCTTAGAGAAACATAATTTCTTACTGTATGATAAATATGCATCCTTATATGTATACACAAGTATACAATCTCATCCCTTATCAAAGAAGCTTCTTTTTGCAACAGATGGGGACTATTTCAGAGCTCCACAACTGACCAAATGCAGAGGGTAAGTGTCTAGGAGAAGCCCAGTCCTAAGTGACAATGCAATTTCTACACCTAAGGCTCAGAGAACATAAGGAGCAGAGAGAATATTAATGCATCTCTCAACTCTCACCAGCGAAGCTTCCTCATGTAACAGATAATGATTAACACAGAAACACATAACTGGCTAAAATGTAGAGAATAAGAGACTGCAGAGTGAGTATGTTTCCCTATATAGGGCTCCTATGTTAAACCTCTGCCACCCAGGATTCAGGGACCATTGTGGAAGAAAGACTGTAAGAGCCAGGGGTGGTGGATGACCACAATGAAACAGTTTTCCAAGCAACTGGGAACCTGATCATATGAACTTACAGCAATGGGGACAGCATGCACAAGATCCATGCAAACTCAAACCAAACAAACATGCAGCATAAAAGTGGGGAAATAGGTAAGAAGCTCCAGTCTTGGCTGAGGAACTGTTGGCAACTGAAATCTGCTGGGTCAGGGAGAGTTGATCTTTAAGGGAGTGATGCTAGATCAGTTGACTAGGCTCCAATAGATCGACTCATACCAAGGGACATTTGGAGACATAAACTTGACTAAATAGGCCTTAACATATATGAAAGAGTGCATGAATTCTGGTGGGAGGGGGGCTATGGGGGATGTTGATATGGGAGGGGTTCTAAACATGATCAAAATGCATTATATAAAATTCACAAAAATTAAATAAAATGTTTTTTTAAAAAGAAGTGGCCAAGCCAGCACATAAAATTGAAGTCTAAGAAGCTGAGGGTAGAGCAAGCAACAAGAAATTTGGGAACTTTTAATTCTGATGCCAGCTGTGCTCATGCTGGTAAACAGATGGAAGGAACAGCAGCCATCTCTGTAATACATGGTAGGTTTTGCAAGGCATCTGCATCACACACTTTATCTCTAACCCTTACAGTCACCTATAAGCTATATATTATCTGAACTTTACATGTGAGGCTCTGAGAGAGTCAGTGCCTCATTCCAGGTCAGGAAGTCAGGCATCCCAGGTTCAGGCTTGGTTCAGTCCACCTCCACCTGCCCCTTCTTATACTAGCAGGCCTCACTCCTTTGCACTCTGGAGCCAGTTGCTGGACTGTCTCCTCTTCCTGTGCGGGTCACTTCCCCATATTACCTGAGTAAGAAAAGGGGCAACAGGGCCACTGGTGGCAGATGTGTTGCTAGTTGGGGTTGGTCACATGATGCCTTGTGAGTGGTGTGGCTGGCAGTTTTTCAAAGTATAACCAGACACACTAAACGCATGACCCCAAGGATGAACAGAGCCTGAGCAGGTCATAGCTGGTTTAAGAGCCCAAGAGAAGCGGAGTAGGCTCTGGTCAGAGCTGAAATGCATCAGGTGCATCTGCAGAGTGTATACCAACACCCAAGGAGCCACAGTGACATTCTATGACTGTAATTCTGGCTCCATCCTTCACTGTAACAAACCCACTGCTTTTTAGGAAAAGAATCTCCATTTCCCAATTCTTCCTTTATCTCATTCTTCTTTCTTCCTATTCCCTCTTCCCTCAGTCTCTTCATTTACGTACTTTTACACTTCAAATACAGTAGTAGTATAAATTAATTTTCCAGAAGTTTTTAAGTGAGGAAAGTAAAATGTGAAACTCTCTTGCCGCCTCACTACTCTGCAAATATCTAAGCCCAGGGGCAGCCACTGTTTTATTTATATCTTTTCATAACTTTTCCTTTATATTTTCTAAAAAGTTGTAATATAGTTTAAGAATTCTTAAACATTTTCAAAGGCTGCTCATACTAAACTTATATATGCATGTATATATGAATATATGACTGTTTCTATTTATCCTAGCTAGCCTTCCATTTTGGTAAGCATGGCTGTCTGTGTACAAGATGACTTATAAACACCTGGTTAGTTGTTCTGTGGTTAATCTAGCCTCTATGAGCACCCTCTCTACATGCAGTAGGTGGGTGACAAATGCTTGTAAAGAAAATAAAATCTATCAGGCATACAGGTGCACCCCTGTAATCCTAACACTTGAGAGACTGATGCAGGGGGGATGGTCAGGTGGAAGCCAATATGGGATACATAAGGACACCTGTGTGTAAAATAAAATTAAAAAAAAAAAAACCTTCTAATCCAAGCACCAGGTTACTGAAACTGCAGAAAGACACTGTTTTGAAAACAATTCAGCCAAGTGTAGAGTGAGGGAAATTTTACAAGACGCATTATATCACTTGTTTAAGAAGTAACTGACAAGGAAAATGATGGGGAAATATTAAATCTATAAATTAAAAATCGTGGGCTGGTAAGATAGGTCAGAGGGTAGAGGCGCGTGCCACCAAGCCCAATGACCTGAGTTTGGTTCCTGGAACCCACATGATGGAAGAGAAAACCAACTCCTGCAGGTTGTCCTCTGACCTCGACGTGCACTCCAAAGCATATGTATACACAATCCCCCCAACACACACACACACACACACACACACACACACACACACACACACACACACACAAAATAAATGTTAAAAAAATCTAAGGGACAGAGGAGATGGACATTAGAATGCTGACTCAGATGTTTTAGAATATTGGACATTGGCGCTCAGCTTTCTTTAGGAGACAATGATATTGCAGTTTAGTCCTTTTGAAGTCATAAAATAGTAAAGCATTGCACAATGTGTTAGCTGAAATTTGCTTTGAAACAACCTATTTTTCCATAGAGATCAGTGGGCAGAAGAGACAGGAAACATGACCTGACCAGGTGTTGACAGTGCTCATTTTCCTGTCCTTTCTACTTCCCATGGATTTGCTATAATAAAAGTTTGAAAACTAGTGAAAAGGATGAATATGTATTTAGTAGAAACAAAGAATCAGAAACAAAGAAATTCAAAAATCAGTGCTGAACATATTAAAAATAATTATAATATGCTTCATTTTCTAAAGCGGGAACCTAAAGACCATTGTACCACTGCAATAATAAAAATTCTAGATTTCTGAAATAGTTTTCACCTGCAGCACTGGAATGTGAGTGACCTAGACTTTTGGACCCAAGGAGGACCTTGAACTCCTGGCTCTCCTGTCTTTGTTTCACTTGGGTGGGAATTACAAGTCAGTCCTGTCTCTCATGGCAAACATTCTCATTTGGCACATATTCAGCAGTATGTGAAAGCACTTGTAATGTTTAAACATTGGTATTTCATTTCCAACTTGCTTTAAACAACATTTTATGTCCTGTATAGATTATGAAATTTATGCTTGACAAAACATGTCTTAGTACTTGCGATAATAAAAAAACATTTAAAAACTGGGGGCTGTGGGGATGGCTTAGTTATAAAATACCCCAGTGCAAGCATGAGGACCTGAGTTTAGATCCCAGTATCCATGTAAAAGTAGGGCATTGTTGCACATGTCTTCAACCCAGCCCTGGTAGAGTAGAGATAGGTAGGTCCCAGGGACTCACTGGCCAGTCAACCTAGCCAATGAGTCTAAAAAAATACATTAAAATTTTTTTAAATAATAAAGAAAAGCAAAATAAATTAATTTAAGAAACTTTAAGTGTATGTGATGCAAACTTTTCACAATGTAATCAGGTCTTTCTTACTTGAAAATTCTGGGGTGATCCCATTTTGGCTAGAAGAAGGAACAGACATCAAGGGGGATACTCCAACAGCATGCCTCTTTTGCCAATACTTTTTATTTTGCTTTTTAGAATCTGGGACTTTTAAAGTATAAAACATTTATGCACTTACTTGGGGAACCACTTGGCATGCTCCTTCCAAGGATCATCTCCTTCTTCCCAATTCCCTAAGCATCCACCACAGGAGAAACACTGCACAGTGTCCCTTTTACCTACAAATGAAGGAAAACATTCTGACTGGCCAGCAGCACCAGGTGTGTCCTGGCAGGTGATCAATTGCTTCAGAACAAGACAGACTCCAGCACTGGAAAAATGTCTTTTATTAATGGACATAATATGGACTAATGGCCTTTTTAAAAATATTTATTTAATTTTATGTGTATGAGTGTATTGCCTGCATGTGTGTAAGTGCACTCATGCCGTTCAATGCCCATGGGGGTCAGAAAAAGGTATCAGATCCCCTGGAACTGGAGTTACAGACAGTTGTTAGCTGACATGTAGGTGCTAGGAATCAAACCTGAGTCCTCTGCAAAAGCAGTCAATACTCAACCACTGAGCCACCTCTCCAGCCCCTGAACTAATTAATGATTTTTAATTAACACCAGCAAAACCATGTGCTCTTGAGCCTGGTTACGGGGGCATCTTTTCTGCAACATCAATTTGGTATCCTACCCAAAGAGATAACGAATGAATGTGTGTATACTTGAGAACTGAATTAACATATCAAAGAGCTGAAAAGTGGTCCCCAACTCCATCAAACACAGTGGAGGTTGGGAGGGACACAAGACCCTGGATGAACTTGAGCTAGGAATGAAAAGACAGATGGTCTATGAAGATTAAGGTTGTTAGAAATCAAATCCAAGTTCCAAGGACCCCCTCAATACTGCACAAAGAACATGCAGACAAAGCAAAAGTAACTGGGCAGGGCAGATTTTACTTTCGAAAAAGGGTGTTTTGCATGGTCAGTCAAATCCAGCAAACACACAGGACCCAGAAGTTTGGTAAGTTTTTATCCCTAACAACAGCAAGAATACTGTGTCTTTTTCCTCATTGGCTGGGGTCCAACCTCACAGTCTTTCCTGGTTGGCTAGTTTAAAAGAATTAGTAGAAAAGGAGAAGCGCTCCACTGGCCCAGGTCATCAGGTTCAGGAATGTATTAGAGCCTTTCCTTAAACAAAAGTCTTACAGATTTCAGTGGGATTAAAAGATTAGCATTCCTTATCATAAACCAAGTTCTAAGTTTTACTTGGTTTGAAAGAAAAAACTAATATTAAATTATTTAATGTTCATACAGGGTGGAGCCAACCTTGAACTTGTACTTCCCCAATGAAGCTGGAGAAATTGTTTTGAATAAATTATGAGTATGGCCTAACCAAAGGACACAGTGGGAGAAACAGGGTTCCGGAGACAGTTCTATATGCACAGGGTTAAGGACACAGACAGCTCCATCTGCACAGATTAAGGGGACAAGTGAGATCCATAGCAGAGTTCTGAGAGACAGACAGTTCAGACAGATAGCTGGGGGAACTAGTGTCCTCTGAGTTCGGACCCACTCTCGAGTCAGTCTGTTGTTCAGGTGATTATGATGTCGGTGTAACAATAAACACTGCATAGCATGCCTGTTCACCCATGACCCATTTGGCTGAATCTCTCTGTCCACAGTCTCATGGCCCTAAATGACCAGCTTCTGAACTCTGGGCCTCTATCCCCCAACCATAGCCACCCTTCATAAGCACAGCCCAGGGTCTGACATGCTAGGTCAGTGTTGTAGCACTGAACTGTGCCCTCAACCCACAGCAGGCATTTTCTAACATCCATATTTTTTAAAAAGTGTCCTTTTATATTTTATATATATATATATGATAACATACTAAAAGTAAAAAGAAATGAAAATATTCAACTTGAATTTTAGTAAAATACACTTATCTCTGATACAGCACAGTTAACAAATGAGGAATGATTAGCAAAATACTGTTTTGGAAAAAAAAAAAAAGGGGGGGGGGACCTAAACTTTGAACTCCACAGAAACACTTCTGACAGTGGTTTCCTAACCTGTAAAGACAAAGCCAGCCACTGACAGTGCACGTGGGGATGTCCCGTGGGCATAAAATGGCCAGTTCTGGAAGGACTCCAGTCTGGCCTCCTCTTCCAGGAACCTGGCTTTGCCTCCTCTCAGCATCTTCTCTGGACTCCTGACCCTCACGTCATACTTGCCAATGTTACCGACGTCTTTGCCCAAAAGGAACTCGCACTCTGGACGAAATTTCTTGTGGCTTTCTATGGGAAGGTTCCTGAGTCTGGTACAAAAGAGGATTAAGCTACAGCAGAAACACTGAACCCCAGATTTCACCCCGGTGAAGTAAAACCCAGCAGCCGCCATCTCCTGCGGCGTCCATGATCCGAACGTGTCATAGGTGACAAAAGTCTTTAATCGCTTTGCTTCGCTGCGCATCTGTGCGTTAAAGCCTTTCTGCATTCTCATTCGGTCTTTATGGTCTTCTTCGTCATTTTTCTTTGCCAGCTGAAATGCATCAACACCAAGAAGAACAGAGAGCTTGGGAAGAAGATCATAATCGACCTCAGAAATCCTCTCCTCTGAGACCGCCCCCTGGGTGGCCATTTTCTAAAAGGTTAGAAAAGCATATGATTAGTGACAGTAATGCTTTTATTAAAGAACTTGAACTCGGGGCCCAAACGATGGCTCAGTGCTTGCTGCAAAGCCTGAAGACCCCAGTTCAATCCCCCAGGACACACATGGTAGAAGGAGAGAATCAACTTCTGGAAGTTGACCTCTGACCTCCACATGGGTACAATGACACAAGCACACACAAACATGCAAAGAACCAAGTTAAATATAATTATTTTTAATATATAGCATGCCCTCAGTTTCTAAAGAAAGCAGAAATTCAAGAAGTGCCCGAATTGTCAAGACAAAAAAAAGAGGTCATTTGGGAAATTTTAAAACATCAGTATTCACCCACTTAAATATTTTCTAAGCACCTATTTGTGTGTCAAGCCACGGGTGAGGCCTTGAGCACCAACAATGAACAAGACAGACCTGACTACGTTCATACAGTCTTCCAAATGTCTTTTGTTTTTTTTCCTGAGATAGTCTTGCTATGTAGCCCATGCTAGCCTAGAACTTGTGGTTGAATCAGACAAGAATAGCAGATAGAACCCAAAAAGAGATCCTTAACTTCTCCAGGTAACCGTCTGTGTGTGTGTGTGTGTGTGTGTCCTAGTTTGATTTCTGTTGCTGTTATAGACACCATGACCAAAAGCAACTTGGGAGAAATGGGTTTATTTCATCTTAGAACTCCTGGGTCACAATCCATCACTGAGGGAAGCCAAGACAGAAACTCAAGGCAGGAACCTGAGGGCAGAAACTGAAACAGAGACCATGGAGGAACTCTGCTTTATTGGCTTTCTTCCCCTGGCTTGCTCAGTTACCTTTCTTATACAGCCCAGGCACATCCGCCTAGAGATTGCATTGCGCACATTTGATTGGGTCCTCCCATATCAACTAGCAATTAAGAAAATGCCTCACAGACTTGGCCACAGGCCAATCTGATCTAGAAAATTCTTCAGTTGAGGTTCCCTCTTCCCAGGTGACTCTAGAGTTATACCTGACACAGAGGAATGCCACACAGTGACGGTCAAATTAAGAGTCCTTTAATTAGTGAGCAGTTGAGAGCATGCTAACGCCAGAAAGAACTCTCAACCCTGAGGAGAGGCAGAGCAGAATTTATAAAACTTAAAACCAGATTACATCATGCCAGGGTCAAAGCCAATAACAGTGGTTACACCATACCAGGGGGGCAAGTCAGGTAACAAAAAGCTTCTAAGTTTCAGTTAGGAAAAAAAATTTCTCAGAATTGCAGAAACAGTGGGCTCTGTGGAGCTGCAGGTGTAGCTGGGAGAGAACCTTTTGCCTGGCTGAATGTAAGTTGCCCAGTATTGTAAAGACAATGTAGGCCCTGAAACACAGGTGCACCCTTCACAGGGCCGCTCTGCCTGGTGGGTGTAGCTAGCAGGAGCAGGGGGAGTGACTGGGCAGAAACACAGCATAAAGCAAAAGTCAGCTAGAACAAAACGGCGTAATTTTTCACTAGTTTGTTTCAAGTTGACAAAAATTAACCAGTATACTATGTGTGTGCATGGTTTGTGAACTTGGGTACACCCATGCCACAGTCATCCTGTGGAGGTCATAGGATAATTTTTAGAAGTGGATTCTCTCCCTCCAGCCACAGTGGTATCCAGAGGTCAACTCAGGTCATTAGGGTTACAAGGCAAGCACCTTTACCTGCTGAGCCACTTAGCCAGCACTGCTTTTTCTTTATGGATTAATTACTCCTCTAATGGAGAACATTTAGACCACTGCCATTTTTTCCTTATAAAGAAAGATGTGTACAGTATGCTTAAAATAAAATCTTTTCTTCTAGTTTTATTATTTCCTGTAGAATAAATTCCTGTAGAATTGCTGAATCGATCTTATGCATATTTTAAAGATTTTGATATATGTCACCCACTGGCTCTGGACAATGCTTATCTGAGGTCCTTTTTCCCTTCAGCACTGTAGGGTCCTGCTTCTTCCTCAGATGGTTTCCTGCAAAGGGATGTCACATATCAGCATTTATGTCTCTGTAACAGAAGTTAAAGTCTACTAATAAACCAAGAACTGTTTGTCCAAGTGAAAGGACCTGTCAGAATCTTTATGACTTTCCAGTCCAACATCCCAGTGGCTCCAGTGGCAAGAGGCTCCAGTACACACAAATAAGTAGCCTTCTTTGAGCATGACATTGTGTGGCTCCTTCAGAACCAATGGGCAATGGCTACAAGGTCCCAAAGAGCCCCAAAAACTTGACTCCCTCTCAAGTACCGACCCTGCCCAACTCTAGTAACTTTGAAACAAGGGGTTAACACAATTCCCAAATGTGATATATGATTTTTCCAGGAACCAAGAGAACAAGCCAATTTTTGTTCCCCTTTGTCTCCATCTGGTATCTAAAATAAATTTTGTAAATCTGGGATATTAAGGGTAGCTCTAGTCCAGGTAATTCCTAAGAATTTTGACATCTATATTAGGTCTTATATTTTACTCGGCTTATCAACCTCTCCTAATGGTTGTCTGATTAACTGGCATTTCCAGTTTGATCCTGTATCTTCAACTTTTATTCTTTTTTACTCTAATTTACTCTTTATCTTTAAATTTTCACCTTCTGTTGATGTCACAGAAGCTGAGCCATTTCATGTGGTCCTTTCTATCTGGTTACATTCACCCAGCATCATGTTTTCAAGGTTCGTCCATGTTGTAGCATGTATCAGCACTTCACATTCCTTCATTGGGTAATATTGTTTTATTAAATGCATGTCATATCTTATTGATCCAATCCAGTCATCAACCCAGTTGATGGGCATTTAATTTGGTTAAACTTCTTGGGATTTTGTGAATAATACTAGCATGTGCATTTATGCTCAAGTGTGGACGTTTTTCAATCTAAAATCCATAGGTGCATCTTCATACACACCAATTAATTCTCCTTTGCTTCTATTACCAGGTTTAGATATGAGAGTACATTATGCACCATGGTCCAGTCATATCATTAAAGTTTCGTCATCACCTTCAGACCTTTTATCCACATCCTTAGGTCCTCATAGAAAGCAGTACCAAGAGATCTTGACCATCTTCTTCACATAGCACTGTTTATCGTAGTATGGTTTCATTTAGAAAGAAAAGAAATATTTAGTATGCTGTACAGACAGTCGTGGCAATACCAGAAGAACTTCATGCTTGGATGTTTATTCCTCTGGTGAGTGTGTTTGTTTTGAGAGAGGAACTCACCACATAGTCCATACTGGTCCTCCACCCTCTGCTTCCTGAGTGCTAGGAAAACAGGTATGCTCTACCATGCCTAGCTATCATAATGCTCTAGAGAGTCTGTAGATTATCCTTTTGTGTTATCAGAAAGTTTCCTTTAATTTGTCAAGGCTATGATAAATTAGAAACCTATGATGGTACTTTGACACTTTGAAGAGTTGGTGGAACAAGCTACTTAATCACTGTTATGAATAATCTTAAAGTGATACTGAAATTTAGATAACTCCATATAGTTCATCCTTTGGGAATGTCATTTCTAATTATTCACCTGAACATTACCATTGGTTACTAATCCCACGATATTTTTCTCCCTTTAATTCTTATTTCCTTTCTTGTGAATGATACTGATCTGTTCATCATTCAGCACAGATTGAAGGAAATGAGCAGCTCAATCTATAACAGCCTCTCCCATCTATTCCCTCAACATCTGGGTCACATGTGAAGTCAAGCCATTTAGAGGACTTCTTATCACAGCATCTTTAACCCATTGGCATAAAATTAGGAATACCTTAGTACTAGCAGATGACCAGTCCACAGGTATCTGCTTACATTCTCAACATTTCAATAGTCTCAAAGGATTCAATATCTTTGCATAGAGTTGGAGAGTCCCACTTACAAGATGTTTTATGCAGCCCCACTTTACCCACCTCATCCAGTTTGGAATTTGCCCGCCTATACACATTTCTGCAAAATCTGCAGCAAACTGAAGGCTTACATTTGTTCGTTTTTGTTTTCTTGTTTTGTTTGAAGGACAGAGACAGGGTCCTACTATAGAGCCCAGGTTGGCCTCAAAGTTGGCATCTTCCTGCTTCACCCTCCTGAGTGCTGGAATAATAGTCATGTGCCACCATACCTGGCCAAAATGCAGACCTTTAAGATCAAGCACACCCTTTCATGTGAAGGTACACCTGACAATATCCAGAGTTTCCACTGTGCCTCAGTTACCACATTTGGCAATCTTAATATAATGAAAAGAGCTCCTTGTCACTAATCTATAAAATGCACTCTGGCACTGGCTCCCCTGGAAGCTCTGTCAGTCCACAGGCTGCTCAGCTCTTTGATCATCTTTTTTCAGTTTTCTCTCATGCCTTCCCCTTAGGGTCTCCTTAGTGATTGTGAGACAAAGGACGTGTTCACACGAAAAGACACAATTGCCCAATGCCAGCATCCTGTTTCTTTCCTCTAGAGAAGGAACTGGCCATGACCCTGCAGCCTCAGGCTTTGCTTCCTTACTTTCATTTTTGCCAACACAAGCTGAATTACCTGTTTCCTGATGCTGTGATAAAATATCCTGACACAAGCAATTTAAGAGAGAAAAGGTTTATCCTGACTTACAGTTTGTAGGTTTATACTCCATTGGGGCAGAGCAGGCAAGATAGTTGGAGTAGGGGGCCTGATGGTCACACGGCATCCTCAGTGAAGAAGCAGAGAATGTAAACAGGAAGTTGGGCCAGGCTACAAAGCCTTTAGGCCTGTACCCAGTTAAGACTTCCTCTAGTCTAGAGGCTCCACCTCTTAAAGTTCTACAAAGCTGCTGGTGCTTTTGATTTTCTTCCTTCCTTCCTTTCTTTCTTTTCTTTACTTTTTTTTTTTTTTTTTTTTTTTTTTTTTTTTTTCTTTTTTTTTTTTTTTTTTTCTTTTTTTTTTTTTTTTTTTTTTTTTACTGACTGGTCTGCAAATTACTATGTAAACCAGGCTGACCTTGAACTCACAGAGATCCCTGCTTCTGCCTCCTGGGTGCTGGGATTAAAGGTGTGTGCCACTACAGAGGCCTCCTTTCATTTTTAAACGTCTATTTCTACATTTTATTTATTCTGTGTGTACTTGGGGAGGCAAATATGCCACATTACAGGGGTGGAGGTCAGAGGACAGCCTCTGTGGATCAGTTCTCTCCTTCAACTCTGTGGGTCCTGAGGATGGAACTCAGGTGGTCAGTGTTCGCTACAGTTACCTTCCCTCTGAAGCTTCCCCCCAACTGGTCCTCCTTTTTCTTTGCTTTAATGTCTTTCTCCTTTTCTTTTCTGTTTATTTTGTTTTCTTCTCTTTTCTTTTTTGGTTGTTTTTTATTGTTGCTATTGTTGTTTTGACATAAGGCCTCTCAGTAGGCCTCGAATGGAAGACTAAGATCTAGTGTGGGCACTGGCACCCCCAAACCCAGAGTTTCAGGTGAGTCTACCCTTAAATACTACACTGGCATGCAGCCACATACAGCTATGAATGTGGGCCTATTCAAAAATTGTAAACTTCCTCCCCCAGACTCAGGGACCAAAGCAGGAGAGAGGACAGAAAGATCATCAGGTAGGACAGGTAGGAACAGGGCAAAATAGTATCTCCTGGATATGACAGAACCTGTGCACTCAGGTACTCACAGCAGCTGTGGTTGCCTTGGAAAGACCTGCACAAAATCAAGCCAGTCAGCATTCCAGCATGAAGGGAGAAGAGGTTCAGAAGCATCCACAGCTTGCTGGGGAGCTAGAAACAGTAGATGGACTCTGGGGGAGGAAAAGTCAGTTTTGTTTACAATGGATGTTCCAGTGTGTGCTGGATAGCTTCAGTTGTCAACTTGACCCACCTGGGTGGCAGGAACCTCAACTGAGGAATTTCCTCCATTGGAATGACCTGTGACCATGTCAGTGAGGCATATCCTTGATTACTGAGTGATGTGGGAGGACCCAGACAATTATGGGTGGTACTATCCCTGGGAAAGTGGTCCTGCATTATATAAGAAAGCAGGGTGGCCACCCATGGTGGTGCACACCTTTAATCCCAGCATTTGTGAGGCAGAGGCAGGCGGATCTCTATGAGTTGAGTTCAGAGCCAGCCTGGTTACAGGGAAACCCTATCTCAAAAAAAGGAAAGCAGGCACTGAACACAGGCCAAGGGAACAAGCCTCAGTAAGTACCTCCATCGTCTGTGCTCCAGGTTCCTGCCCTGAGTGCCTGCCTTGGCTTCCTTTGATGATGGATTGTGCTTGTAAGCCAAATAAATTCTTTCCTCCCCAAGTTGGTTTTGGTCAGTGTTTTATCACAGCAATAGAGAGTGGCTAAGACACATTGGATGATCGCACACCCAGAAGTATATATGAGTAACACAAATTGGAATCAATAGATTATTGAATTATTTTTTTAAAAAAGAGGACATGGAGTTGGGGGCATTGAGAAGTTGGGGGTAGGTCTTGAAGGAGTTAAGGAGAGGAGTTGGGGTGAATATGATCAAAATGCATTTTATTGTACTCTCAAAGAATTAATAAAAATGTTTATTAAATACAAAATAAACACAAAAATTACAAACTTACTTAAAATATGAAATTCTTTTTGCAATGTTTTTTGAAGAAGAGTGCCCCTCAGATCCCCTCCCTGTCCTTTGAGAAAGAGCTGCCCTCTGCCTGACTCTGGAAATCCTGTAGATTGTTCAAACCCTTTCCTGGTACGTCTGTTTATGGTTTCTATGGAAATGGTCTGGGGCAGAAGAGGAAGAACATTCTGCCCCAGGTAAGCTAACCAATGACTGTATAGGTTAAGGCTCTGGGAATCAGCCCTAGATTGTTCAAATCCTTCCCTGGTTCTTCTTTTTATGGTTTCTATAGAAATCCCCTGCTCTGCGGTTTTTGTGGTTTCAATGTTTAAAAGCCCTGTGTTTTCACAGCTCATGGTTGCAGTACTGCTCCCAAGACTGGGTCCCCAGCCGGTTGGCTTCAATAAAGCGCTTGTGTTTTTACTGAGACTCAGTGTCCAAGTGGTCAATTCAGGGAATTCTTCAGACCCCGAACATTTTGTGCAGTTCTCAAGAATTGTAGGGGACAATGTTATGACAAAATGCAAAAAGGTTGGACACCACATTTAAAAAGTCAAAACAGGTCAGGTACTGTCTCATTTTTACAAATGAGGAAACTCAGACACCTAGAGTTAAAGAGGAACCAGACAGTCTGACTAGTCAGCAGTTTAAACCATATGCAGTGCTTCATGAAGCCTACATTTTAAGGAAAGGCTCCAGGAGCCCCGGATTCTCCATTTCCTCCCCCCTTTGGCTGTTTTAGCAAATTGTGAGCAATTCTAGCTGTCATCAGCCAGCACTGGCATGTGAACTCCTCAAATTTTCTGTCTAGACCCAAAAGCCATTTCCATCACCTAGAAGCAATTATGGATGGATGATTGGCTTTCATCAGCCCCTCCTAATTTTTTATTAACAGATATAATAGTTAGAGGAGCAGTGTCCTTCAAGGAACTTGCCAGCCTGCATCCTACAACCAGCCCTGGTTTTAAAAATAATTTCTTTAGTCTACAAAATTAGGGGTTTCTTCATGATGTTTTTATACGTCATTGTACCTTGATCATATTTGTACCCTGCTCTTCTCCTACTGTCTCCACCCACCTTCCCCTTCTGCTTTCATCACACATACACACACACACACACACACACACACACACACACACACACACAGCTAGGATTTTCTAGATTCACGTTTGTATCACCAAAATATTGCAAGTTCTTTTTCTTATTTGATTGCGTTCATTATATTGTCCCATATTCATAGAATGTGTGACTCACAGGAGCGCCATAAGCTTCATTAACGGAAGCCCTAAAGACAAATTCTTTAGTCAGCTGGTCCTAAATTGGCAGCCTGGCCTTTGCTCAAGCCTTATCAACTCCCTAGACTAAGAGAGACTGTTTACAGAACCAACCTAACTCCTTTAATGCCATAAAATAACTTGCCTGCACTTCCTGAGAAAATAATCTCAGGAAGAAGATGCTTAATTACTCCAAGGACACTGGCCCCAAGCAAATTCCCGAGTTCAACAGAGTTCCTATGTAAGTCCAAATTACTCTGCCTTTCTTTGCAGGTACCCTCATCCCTCAGAAAGGTTTATAAGCCTTTGCTTATGAAGGAACACATTCCTTGCCTGTTGTAGGTCTGGCTCTGACTCTTATTCCTAAACTTTAAACTCCTTCCTTTTTCTGTTTTCCTAAATTTAACACATACAATACTGTTCAATAATAGTAGATATACTATCTCATATTTTACTTTTACATGAATTCTTTTGACCATTAAATGTTACTTTTTATTAATATATCAGTTAAATAAAGTTTTCTTTGGCTGGAAATGTAACTGAATTAGCAGCATGCTTATCCAGCATGCACAAATACCTGGGTTCAATTAGGTGTGATGGTGCATGCTTGTAATCCCAGCATTCAGGTGGTGTAGGCAGGAGGATCAGAAGTTCAAGGTTATCTTTGGCTACACAGCAAGTACAAGGACAGTCTGGGCTACATGAGACCCTATGTTGTAGTTTCCTTTCTGTTGCTGTGACAAATGACTAAAAGCAAGTTAGGAGAGGAAAGGATTTGTTTGGCTTACACTTCTAGGTTACAGTCCATCACTGAGGGAACTCAGGGCAAGAACTCAAGCAGGCATCGGAAATAGTCCTACTTGCTCTTAGATGCAACAAAACCTTTAACCAGGGAACTCACAGACCAGAAGAAAGATCAGAAACTGTGAAGGTACGCTGCTCTTTGGCTCACTCAGAGTCTCATGCTTAGCTAGCTTCTGTTAGGGTCTGTGACTCGGTGGGTCTCTTCAGGAGAACAAATGCACAAGTATGGAGATGCAAAAATCAAGCAGAGTTTTATTAAACCAGCTAGCTGGGGCCGACCGTCCTTCCAAGACACGCAGGTCTGGTTAGAGCGATCGACCCCGAGGCAATTTCAGGTAAAGATTATATAGGCTCCCACAACCGTTACACAAAAGCCCGTGTTTATACAACCAATAGTTTCAAAGCAAGCATTTCACAAACAAATAACTTCAAAACAAGAAAAATGTTACAACTCCCTTCAGGTGTCTCAATCGGGGAAGGATGGGTGGTATGCGCCTGGCACAACCCTTCCCTGTTATCTTGTGTAAGCAGGCATGCCTACGTGACATGACACAGATCAGACAGGTCAGGCTCCGGGGGCTGTAGCACTTGCCCCTATCTCCGGACGCCTGTGTCTCCAGTTGAGTTAATTGGTTACAAGCAGTAAATTCAAACAAGTAAATTCAAGCAGTAAATTCAGACAAGCAGTAAATTCAAGCAGTAAATTCCTCTTTCCCTAACACTTCCTTATACAGCCCAGGACCCCTTGCTCACGGAATGGTGCAGCCCACCTTCCCACATTAATAAACCATCAAGACAATCCCCCCAGACATGTCCACAGGGCAATCTTTTCTGGACAGTCCATCAGTTGAGACTCCCTTCTCAGAGGACACTCAGTTGTGTCAAATAGAAAGTTAAAGCTCAATAGGACATTCTGTATTTATTAATTTAAAAAATTTTTTGAAGGAAAAAAAGTCACTGTTACTCCTAATGACACTGAAACCTTATAACTAAACTAGAAATATTCAAACAGCTTATCTACATGGCAGGAAG